CAACGTAATGACATCACTGCGAATACTCGACGTGAAATTAAAAAACTGGATAGATGTCCTAGGAATCGACCTGTCGATTACTCAAGTAGTCTGTTAAAGGCCCAGGGACACACATAAAGGCAGATCACATAACAGATGGAGAACCACACTGTTGCCAGGTGAAGATAGAAGTAGACAGGAAAATTAGAGAAGATCTGAAGACAGAACCCCTAGACAACAAAGCAAAAGATGTTTTCAGGTTTTGTATCACAGGTGGTGGATAAAAGGAAGGCAGATGAGCCAGAGAACCTCAAACAACGTGGGCTCTACTGAAGGTCATCAGAAGAAAGTGGAAGGAGCCAAGGTGGATCGGCTTCTACAGGATGATGGAAAGAACCTCCCATGCCGTAAAGTTGGAAGGAAAAGGAGACACCTGGTTTCACTGGAGACATGGAGACAGTGCACCTCAACAGAGGAGCTGTGGGATCAGAAAAAAGCCGAGCCGAATAAGGAGGAGCCAGGAGACATGGATTGGGGCCCGGAGTCGGCATCAACTGAGGAGATTGATCCAGAGATGATGGAGGAAATAATGGATCTAACAGGCATGGCAGAAAGAGCATTAAGGAGATACGAGAGAGAAGCAAAGAAGTAGAACAAAAAACTTGTTCCTGTGGAGAATGGTGATGCAGAGAGGACAACAGAGAAAAGGACGGTCGCTCAGAAATATCCAAGCGGACCAGACTCGAGAGGAGAGACAGTTTTGGATGGGACTTAGCCAAAACATGAGCTGGACGGAAAAAATAAAAACCAGGAAGCTGTCTCTACAAAATACCACCCTCACAGAATCGGTTGACATCATAGAGGACTCAGGAGAAAGAAGGAGGCCCTAATATTATAATTTGCCATGAAAGAATAAATCTTATTTTTTTATTTTCTAAAAACATACAAATCAAAAAAACCTCATGAAGAGGGAACAAAACTGAAGTGTTGCCAGATGAAGGTGAATAATGCCATTCTGATTTACTTCTGTGGATATTTGATTTGTACTCAGAAGAACTCGAAGAGAAAGAGAGAGAGGGTTCTTTCTGAGAAGAACTGTCGTTTTGGTTTGTTTTTGATTTCTTTTGAACTGATGAAACCCAGGAGGATGCTGAATGTGCCCTTAAGGCCATCGTCGTAGGGGCATGAGGTGATGCGGATGTTTCCCGCCTTATTGGAAAATTTGCCCAGGGAGGGTTTTCCACCGCATACATAAAGCATCCTACTTGCAAGAGAGGGTTATTGACAAGTGATTAAAATGTTGAACTAGAGGGAAAATGATGGAGATGTAAAAAGTCACAAAATATTCTTCACTTACTAATGTCAAATGTTGTTATTATTAGTTTGAGCTAATTACTAATTGGGATGATCTCTTAAAAAAGAGACCAAAAGGGGGATTGTTGGGAATCAAATAACCTTTGATGATAAATGATGGGAAATAATATAATATGGATTGTCTAAAAAAAAGTTAAATCTGGTCTTCTGGACATTCAAAAAAACCCAAAACAAAGCAAAACAACAAAAAAATGTAGAACTGTTTCGTCTTTCATCCGAAATACTTATTCAGTCTGAGGTGCTGTATTCAGCTCAGTCTCTTAAATAGCACCTTCTCAGAGTGGATCAACCAGTTTGCTGCTGACAACCAGAACCAGCTGATCACATGATCAAGAAGGACCATCAGCCTAACAATGGATCATTAGCACCTGATGGCTGTTTACTGTTCACAGAGGGCTGAGTGATACTAGCAATCACAGCATTGTAAGAGGGGGACAGTTGAACCCGGAGGCTCCACCCCTGTTTAATGATGGACGGTTTCTTTTCACAAAGATGGCCTCCTTTACTCCTCTCTCAAACCATCGTTCCTCTCTGTCCAGGATGTGAACATCTTCATCCCTGAAAGAGTGACCTCTGACCTGGAGATGAGTGTAGACTGCAGAGTCCTGGCCTGATGATGTTGATCTTCAGTGCTGGTCCATCTTTTTGGCCAGTGGCTGTTTAGTTTCCCCGATGTAAGACTGATCACCTTCTTGACACTGAACAACATACACAATATTACTCTGTTTGTGCCGGGGGACTGGATCTTTGGGATGAACCAGTCTTTAATGTATTTTGGGGTTTAAAAGCCACTGGGACGTTATGTTTAGAAAATAAACGTCTCAGTTTCTCTGATACTCCCTCAACATACGGAATGACCACTGGTCTGGGTCTGGGTTCCTCCTTTTCACCTGTTGGCTGACTGGAGTCCTGTTTGGGTTTCTTCTCTGCTTTCAGGAAGGCCCAGTTAGGATATCCACATTGCTCTAGAGCCTGTCTTGTGTAGGATTTCTCCTTCTGCCTGGCTCCTGAGCTAGTGGGGACGCTGTCTGCTCTGTGGTACAGAGTCCTGATGACTCCTAACTTGTGTTCCAAAGGGTGATGGGAGTCAAACTGCAAATACTGGTCTGTGTGGGTGGGTTTGTGGTACACCTCAGTTTGCAAATGTCCTCTATCAGAGACTGAGACCTCACAGTCCAAGAAAGCCAACCTGCCATTTTTTACATCTTCTCGTGTGAACTTGATGTATTTATCCACAGAGTTGATGTGGTCAGTAAAATATTGGACTTCCTGAGATTTAATTTTAACCCAGGTGTCGTCAACATACCTGAACCAATGACTTGGTGGTGTCCCTGAAAAGGACGTCAAGGCTCTCTTTTCTACCTCCTCCATGTACAGGTTGGCAACAATAGGAGAAACTGGAGACCCCATAGCACACCCATGTTTCTGCCTATAATATTGCTCCCCATATGTGAAGTAGGTTGACTGCAGGCACAGTTTCAAGAGTTGACACAGTTGTTCTGTGGAAAGTGTGGTCCTGCTGCTCAGAGTGGTGTCTGATTTTAATTTTAAACTGACCACCTCTACTGCATCATCAACAGGAATGCACGTAAAGAGTGATGTGACATCAAAAGAGACCATTGTTTCATCAGTCTCCATGATGACATCCCTCACCTTGTCCACAAAGTCCATGGTGTTCTGTATGTGGTGTTCTGAGCTGCCAACTAAAGGGATGAGTACAGACGCCAGATATTTGGAAACATTGTAAGTGACAGAGTTAATCATACTAACAATAGGTCTTAAAGGTACACCTTGTTTGTGGATTTTAGGTAAACCATACAGACTAGGTGTGGCCTCCCCTGGGTACAGTCTGTGGTACAGAATACGGTCAATAGCCTTGTCCTGCTCCAAACTTTTCAGGCAATCTATTAACTTCTTCTTGTAACCACTTCCTGGATCTCTTTTCAGAGGTTCATAAGTGTTTAAGTCACTAAGGAGTGTCATAACTTTCTCATGATAGTCTTTCTGGTTCAAAATCACTATGCACCTTCCTTTGTCTGCTGGGAGAATGATGATGTTTTTGTCCTTGCTAAGAGTGGTGAGTGCATCCCTCTCCTCTCTACTGATGTTGGAAGGTGGTGGTTTGGCATTGCTGAGGCAGGATGAAACTTTGATTCTGAGCTGTTCTGCTTCAGCCTCTTTCATTTTGTTGTTGCGGATGGCTGATTCTGTGGCTGTGATCATCTCCACCAGAGGAATTCTACTTGGTGCAACCACAAAGTTCAGTCCCCTGGCAAGAATCTCTGTCTCTGGCTGGGTGAGCTGTCTGTCAGATAAATTCTTCACCCACTTTTCTGTCTCCCTGGCATGTAATTGACTACTGGAGTGTTGTCCTGCACTGAATGTGTTGTTATTGGAATAGTGATGGTGTTGATGAGTTATTAGTAAATTAAACTTGTTTTGGTTGTTTTATTGTTTTCTCCTACAAATCTAAGTGCTCCCTGGGCTCTTACATAGCAGCCCATTGCTCCACCTGGTTATATCTGTTATGGGTTTAATGCAGAGAATTCGGGCAGCTGTGGCTGAGTGGTTAGAGCAGTCGTCCTTCAATGCGAGAGTTGGGGGTTCAATTCCACCAGCAGTCACATGCCGAAGTGTCCCTGGGCAAGACACTGAACCCCTCGTTGCCTCTGATGTGTGTCCCATCAGTGTATGAATGTGTAAATGAGGCACAGATTGTTGTAAAGAGCTTTGAGCGTCTTGACTAGATAGAAAAGTGAAATATAAGAACAGTCCATTTACCATTTAACTAATTTTGTCATTGTATGGGAACATACAATGACAAAATAACTTCATGGGGAGTGGAGGCGCAGAGGCTAGAGAAGATGGGCCTGTGATCGGAAAGTCGCAGGTTCAACTCCCTGGATGACAACATCAGAATGTGGGTGGAAAAGGTGAAACACCCACACCTGCCTCCACCCTGGGCCCCTGAGCAAGGCCCTTAACCCCCATCACTTGCTACCAAACAGGTCTCTCTTGAAAATGAGTTCTCATGACTCAATGAGACTGCCTGGATAAATAAATAAATATTCTCATTTCATTTACACAAAAACAATCTAAATGTATTTTATTTGTAGTAATTAAATTCAAAAGGATCTGACACCACTCTACATATCCTAGAATCTATTTTTAGTTTTTGAAACGTCTTCCTCACTGCTGACGTCACCATCTTGTATTTATTGACTAAAATCTCGCACAGTTCTCTGAGACTGGAGCCACGTGCGTGCGCGTCCATTCATAGTGTTTGTTCAATTCACATACCGAGCTGGAAATTACAACAATGTGCACACGCGCTGGGATAGCGCTGTGTGTGTGTGTGTGTGTGTGGGGGGGGGGGGGGGGGGTACTGGGTCCAGCCTCAGGGGGAGCGGAGTCTTGGGACTTCCTAACCCCCACCTTTCTTTTTTCTTGTATGAGAGGCGCATCTGAACGTCCGGGTTGTGTGCGCGCGCGTGCTTGTGTGGGACGGGCGCAGTGTGACCGGGTCGGAGGAGTGTGGGAGGGAGGGGGGAGGGTTTAACCATTAGCCCTGTCCTGACCCAGTCCACAGCTGTGCCGAGCCGGTTCCGTACATAAGGCGTGCGCACCGGCGCGAGCGCGTCATCAGCGGAGCAGCTCTCTCTGAAGCACACGGAGCCCGCGCGCGCGCCTTCCCGCTTCTCTCCGTGCGTGGATGGAGTCCATCAGGTAAGACATGCTCAACATGCACCTGCCCGCCGCTTCGGTCAGAGTCAGGACGAGCACGGAGGCTCTGTCCTCATGAGCACGCGGGCACGAGCTGCGGTGCTCGTGTTGGTGACCCCCCCCCCCCCCCCCCCCGGGCCGGAGCAGCTAGAACAGCCTTTCAGCCTTTAATTTACGCCTGGGCCATGTTGGCTTCGGCAGGGCTTGGTCCTGACTACTAAACAGAGACTTGTTTCAGGTCCGCTCCGTGCCCGAGGCGCGTGCGAAGAGCTGGCTCTTCACAATAAAAGCCCCAAATGTTCGGTTTAGTTCTGATGTGAAACTTCAGAGTAAAATGCCATCAGTTAATTCACCTCAGCAGCAGCACACTTTTATTTTAAGGAAACAAGAATCACAGATGTGTTACTGTAGACAGATGTGTTACTGATGTGTTACTGTAGACA